GCTCAGCACGATTCACAGCAGTCACTTGCCGAGGTAGGTTCGGACTATGGTCCGCTAATCAATTGACTACGTGCTGATCAGTCCGTGCAGCCCGACCTCAAGTACACCGAGACAGTCGTACGAGCTGAAGCTGTGCGTCTGGTGATGATCGCCATGGCCACGGACCCGCAGCGTAAGCTCCCCTCGAGCGAATCAGACACTCCTTGCTTCATTCGCGGCCTCTGACAAACTGCGCAGCAACTTCAAGCGATCTTGCGCAAATCGTCCGTCTCTACAGGCCGATCGATCCCAGCAACATGCTGCCAATCGAGCGATCCATGGTCCTCAACACTGTGGACGATCCATTCCCGATGGGTGCAAGACTTGCGATGAAACAAGCGTCCCTGGTTGAAGGCTCGCTGCAAACCGTGCAGGTCAGAGCGCAGGCAGCGTCGGTGCTTGCTGCATCGGCGTCATTGACCGGATCGAGCGTGCTGGGTCAAGCAGAGGCCGGATCCTGGTAGCGCGAGACTTGTGGTCGCGGGCTTGTCAGTGGTATAAGCGGAGGCATGTGTCTGGGGGTTGTTAAGCTTGCAGAGTCGCTGTTCGTTTCATATATACCAGAGCTAATGTGCGAGTCGACGAGCACACGAGGAGTACCGTTCATAGCCGCACGTCGGATTCGGTGTACTAGTGTTCAACTCGTTGAGTGGGCGGTCCTGATCCGAGCTCCGTGATTTCGTTTCATGTTGAGTCACGCCATGCCTCCTAATTGAGCCCGCGCATGAATAGAAGCAGCCACACCGCTCGTCCAAGTGCATGATGAATTTCGAGAAGCTAGGTTTTATTCACCCTTGTCACATGCCACGTGGTTCCCGAGATAGCAAGCACGCTAGGAAGCCGGGGTCTGCATAGAAGGCGGCTGGAGAGGGGAGCTGGAGGTGAACTTGGATGCAGACGGAGGCTGCTCCTCGCTGCTTTCAAAGCCCAAGACAGCAGTTGATGTCAGTCTCGCAGCGAAACCGTTCAGTATGCGACGAAGTCATGAGTACGTTCCGTGTACTAGACACGACGCAAGTGCGGTCGAGTGCATCATTCTGCATGAGCCAATCGTTCTTGTGGAAGCAAAATCGCGAACGTCATTCGCTACCGATACGATGGGAACGCTGTGTTATCCCTGTCCCACCACGTGGGCATTAATGTGGGCATGAATGAAGTGTGCAAGGATTGACAAACCATGGCCGAAACGTTCTGCGCATTGTTGGGAGCTCGCGTCGAGGTTGTCAAGGGTATGGCTTGAGCTGTGTGGCGCATCTCAATTAGGAACGTATTGCATTCGTCAAGTGAGCCAGAGCGGGCTGCACTGAGAGGCCGCAGGCTGGTTCAGAGTGCTCCAAATCTTGCAGCCGGAGCCGCTGCATGCTGAGCACCAGAACTAGTGATGCACCTTGACCCATGGCGTGTGATGGTGAGCTTTCGATCAGTGGCAGTGAACGGCTGGCGAGAAGCATAAGTTTGGGTGCAGTCCTCCGTGGCTGAGCACCGTGTGCCATCGAACAAGGTTCCACAGTCGCAATGCCTTCGACTGTATATGCAGTGGAAGGTGGTGTCACCACCACGTGGCAAGCACATCGATCTCCAAATGAAAGGTGAGAACTAAGGCTGCAAGAGCGGCTTCCCCTGCGTCCGCGGGGGTGCCCGTTGCCCTTCTGTGGGATGGGGTGTGCCAGCGAGAATGGAGCTGAAGCATTCATGCGACTTTGTGAATCGCCATCGTCGATGCTGGTCTATCACTCATCACCCAGATGCGAAGTCAAAGTGACGCTAGGGCGTCAGCTCTGTCTGCCTTCTTCCGACGGTCTTACGGCCAAACAGACTGGCCCGATGGGGCATGAACGATCCATTGCCGACTGCTACGCTGATAGGGCGGGGCGTGGAAGCGGTGAGTCGATATCAGTACTTAGTATCCAGCACTTCGCCGAGCTCGCCACCTAACTGTGTAGATGGCAGCAAGGCAATCACCACTAGGTCAGATTGGGAATAGTAGTCCCGAGTGAGGCAGGCTGTGTCGACTCCAGAGCGTGTTGCTGGGCGGAACGCTTGCTGGCGGACCACATTGAACCCGTCGAGCATCTTTGTCTGGTACGGTGCTGAGGATGTTTCGATGGTCCGCAGTTTGAGACTCACTGATGGAATCGATCCATGCGTGCTGTCTGCTCCCTGGAACTACCTCTCCCTATCAGTGTACGCAACCAAGTCGACCTGACCGAGAGTCGATGAATCTAGGCTTTGTCACTGTTCCGGCACCAGAAAGAGTTGGCATACGGTTTTCAGGGTCGTTGTACTCATGCCGCGTGGGATAGTCTCGTATGTCCGGGTAGGATACCACGCGCCACGCTAACGCGCGATACGGCGCTTGACCCTGTAGTGCGTTCTCTGCGTGATCTAGCGATCGATGAACGCAGAGGTAGCGGCACATCAGGGCGACAGAGCGAGCGTAGCAATCCGCGCCCTTTCCGAGCGCGGGTTTCCACCGCTGTCACTGCTCAGCACTTGCATGTGTGAGATCGAGGCGCATGGACTGACTCGTATGTACATCCGATCACATTGTCGCCGTGCTGCGGTCCGTCCGTACACGTTGAGTGGCCCAAAAAGAGGGCGCAGTCTCTGATACTTTCGTGTGAAGCTATGCAGCTTACCTGGGATATGAGGCACGCAGGTCCCTCAGCTTGCTCGTCGCCATCGTGGAGGGTTTAAAAGTGTGCTACCGCTTGTCTTGATTTCTTCATCCCGTTCTCGTCTCCTACGCTAAGTCACCGCTGTCTGAACACGAGTTCGTCAGCAAGCTTACGCTGTCCACCTTCTATTGCGTAGTACACCATACCTTCTCAGTCAACATACGACGATCGGCAGAGGTGCATATCCCGCAAGCGTATCCACTACCAATGCCTCCTGCAAGCCACCAGCACGCGGGCCCTTAGATCATGACGACGGCGGCTCAGCAGCATTTCCTGCTATCGGAAGCCAACTTGGAGGCACATAATACTGCATCCGCAGCGCAGGTGGTAAGTTATCATTATCCCTTTCAACTTCGAGCATGTTTTTGACAGCCATATAGGCCGACGAGCAGCACTTGAAAAACGCCATCCGTGCGGAAGCAGCACAATACTTCTATCAGGCACTCAGTGAGAGCAAACACGTCTCTGAGTATGCGCCCCAAAGCGACTCGCTCTACTTGTTCTCTCGACAGACAGCCACGCAGGCGTCACCGCGTGAGAGATACGCCGTGTGGTCTGCTTGCGATGATCCCATGCCACTTTACTGCAAGCTAGCAATGCAGAGAGAAGCTATTGCCTATGCGTCCTTCGAGTCGATTGACCGTCGTCAGCGTCTAGCCCTCGGAAATATGCCGCCAATGCCTGCGACAGAGGAAACGACCGAGGTCCAAAGACACCGAGCCAGATCTCGTCAAGCTAGGTCTTACCCACAGGACGAGCAACATGCGATGATCGCGCAGCAAGCTTCCAGTGGACTACCGGAGCTGTTCGAGATGCAGCGGCCCAATGTCAAGGACGAAGCGGAGGCGAACGAGGAGGAAGATGAAGGCTACGGCGGCAGTGACAGGCCCTCTGCGCATCTCATCCCAGCTGCAATGTAGCTGGCGAGAATCCACGAAAGGCATTGCTCAGCCAGATGACCTCACCGTCACACAGTGAGTTCTTGGGCACGACTTGTTCTGTGCACAGATCCTGACTCAATGCCCAGCGTCTTGTCGTGCCCTGCTGACCGCCAGAGCTGGCAGGAGGAGTCACCCAGCGACCCGATCGGAAGAAGTACGGCGTGGTGATGGAAGCGTCCATAATTTCGCCAGCAGGATTAGACAGCAAGACTTCCTTCTGCGCTGCAGTGCTGGTACTGGAGTGCGCGATCACAGTACCGATACCCGCACGCTTCCTTGCTAAGTCATACGCGGTTCGGTCGGAGGTCTTGAAGCTACAGTCGATCGATGGTGCCGTGGCCTGCAAGTCCAGGACTACAGTCCATTGTGTGGGCATGGTGGTGTCAAGAGATGTCGGGAAAAGGCGACTGCCCGGAGATTGAACACTGCTCGCACTTCTGACAACAAGTCGACCATCACAATGGAGCGCAAGAGACATGCGGAAGATTGCCGATTGGTCGTGTGTGTCCAACAAGGTCGCCAAATGCTGGGTACAAGTCTGATCCAGCTGATCTGCGCTCGCTGGGTAGAGACCTCGCAATGAACGATCTCCTGCCGACCACAAAGCATCTGCAGCTTCCTGCAAGCGATCGCAGTGCTGCGAGATCAGGTAGATTGGTGATTGATAGCCAGCTGAAGCGGCAGTGTTCGCACCGTCCTGGCGTAAAGCAGGGTCATATTTCAGTGTGGTAAAGACATAACGCTCATTTCTTGCCCGGTCCGCTTCCAGGGCCATCGGAACCTCTCGGCGAGATGTCAACGAAAGTCGCGATGTCGAATTTGACCTGTCAGAGCGTGGTCGATGCGCTGAAACATTTGGAGCATTGGCCCTTAGTCAGCACTACATGGTGCGCGTCTTCTTACTTCACTTGTACGGTTCCCATTCTGACACTTTGTGCTCATAACAAGGTGCACGCTGGCTAAGGGGTGTATGCCGATCTCGCACAGATACAGCCTTTCCTCTCCTTTCGGCCAAGATGCATTCGCGTATCTCATGAGTACAATGAAGAAGTCCTCGCTGGACGGCTTCGGACACGAAGGTCAACAGCGATGACCATTACCTGATGACCCAAGGCCGAGGGTACTCTGCGCATGAGAATGCCGCTACGACTTATATCGCTAGCAGTACTACTTTGCTAACATCTAGGGTCTATGCATGTACGGTCAAACCTCGACAGCCCATCACTGCAAAATTCGAATGGTTCCTCACATAAGATCGTACGCGATGCACTCTTCTCCGCCAGCGCTCACACTGCCGCGAATTGACATGGCTATCAACCCCTCTACCCCCATCCCCTCCATCGAAGCAGTGGCCCAGTGGTAAGGCGCCAGGTCCATATATCTTGGGGGCTACCCTGCGCACGGCAGACGGGTAGCAGGGTGCCCTAAGGGGGGACTGTCCGGACTCCTGGAGATCGAGGGTTCGAATCGCTCCTGCTCCGCTCTTCTTTTGCTGCTCATAGCAAGGGTTGGCTCAGTACGCGGTATGGATCCGCAGTCTGCTTCTGCCTTCGGACAGTGCGGCATGTTGTAAAGTTTGGGAGGGTATTATGTGAGTGGGCGGAAAGGCGTGACAGGTCATGGGTGGAAGGTGCTCAGGTCAAGGCGATCAGCAGGCAGAAGGTAAAAGGTAGACGCGGTCATATGTGTAGTGGTAGAAACGAGACATGAGCACATTCGGACCGGGATGAACAAGATAGGCATGTTGAAGTCGTGTACAGCTATCCATCTTTCGATCTCAACTCGTCTCGCCAAGCCGTCTACTGGAACTACGCATGTGTCGTCTGACTCTTCATCGCTCATCCAACCATGCAGTATGCCCAAGTCCAGCGAGTGCCACCTAACCCGGCCCGTCCCAAACCCATCACCAGCTCCTCAATGCAAGTACGTCTCACTCTTCAAGCTCTCCAGACTCTCAACACTCGCTACGATATGCGTAAGTCTTCCGTTCGGAGCATTCCCTCAGCTTGAATCCAATCACGTACCTTGACTTCCCCTTACAGGCTTCCTCCTGATCGTCCCACCAGTCACGCCGGTGTCAACCAACTTTGCGCCACTGCTAGCGCCAGGTCCAGGACTCCTGGATCCCATAGGCCGAGGCCCAGTGATGTTGCGGCGCTGTTGCGCGGAACCGCGCATATCGACTGCGCGTGCGACTTGGGGCTCGGGTGAGATCTGCAACATCTGCATTAGCATCTCTTCCTTACAGAAGCAGCAGGATGGTAGGATGACTTACGTGACCGGAATCCGTCTCAAGACTATACCGCACCTCTTGGATCGGCTCCAACAAGTGTCCCGACCCCAACGGCGAAGAGTAGTACATATTACTCTTCTGCGCCGAACCCGCATTCCGCGCAAATCCACTCTTACTATACTCCGGCTCCCAATCATCTTCCTCATCCTCATCAGCGTCCTGCTCCCAGCTCTTCTGCTGCTGGGGCGCTGTCGCAGGTTGTGACTGCACTTTGAGTGGCGGGATGAGCGGGCCATCGCGCCCAGCGACAGGGCTGTTGAGGCTCTGCGGGCTAATGGGCTCGCTGAAACGCTGCCGACTTAGCGCTGCGGCGCCGG